TTGATATAGACAAGGTAGAAATTACAAATTTTAATAAAAGACGTAGATATCAAGCTAGGTTGAAGGCAGACCTTAGAAGTAGGTTCCGAAAGGAATATTTGAGTCTGTTAGTGCAACGTTCAAATGAGAAGGGAGGAGTTAAGCCGAAAATGGGAGATGTTGTTATTGTAGGAAATGATGGGACTAAGAGAGGGAGTTGGCCTCTTGCTCTTATCATAGGAATGTATCCCGGGTCCGATGGGGTGACTAGAGTGGTTAGATTGCGTACTGCTTCAGGGGAATTGGTTAGACCAGTTCAACGGTGTTATCCCTTAGAAGGTGGGGAATCTATACCTCCATCAAATGTTAAATCTAATGATAGGGTAACTGAAGTCGTGAGACAGCCTGTCGCTGAAGTATGCCATGACAAAAAAGAGGAACGTATTTTGGCCCCCATAAGACAGACTCGAGGAGGTCGTGCGGTAAAGCCCCCTGTGCGACTTGATTTATAAGTACATTTGTGTATTTTTTGTAATATTTCATGTTTAATTCTTGTAAAATGAAAGGTGGGAGTATGTGGCAACACATAGAAAATCCTTATTATTTGTTGCTAAGATTATTATTAAGTTGTTGCTAAGCGAGTTGCGATGTAAATAATGTAATGTCAAAATAATAAAAAATAAAATACAAAGATCAATGTCAAGAAGCGTATTTTTATTGAATTAAGAGTGGTTTTACGGGTAGTAGAATCCATTCTCAACATCCCGGTTCTGCTTCATATGGTATTTATTACGTTACATATGAGGGTAATATTCTACGTAAATAACCGCCAACTCGCTAGAAATCACGTTCAAAACCAAACAAACAAATGATTGCCAAGGACGAGCCAGGCACAAGCTTCGGTTTAATTTTCCGTTTAAGTATACGTAATGTGTGTGCTACGACGCGCCTAGATCTTTGTCGATGAGATGTTAAAATCTATCTCTCTCTTCAAGCGAGCCAAACTGAAAATGGATGATGCATCGCGGGTGGCTGATGTGTACTGTACGTATAGCGCTGCATGCGGCTGCCAAACTTTAAATTATTTATTATTTTTGAAGGAAATTAAAAGAAAATTTAAATATTTCGAAAATAAAAAAATATTTTTGAGCGGAATGGAGGGTAGTGCCATGGCTCAGTGGCACTACCCCACAGGCCGCCACTGTAATATGACCTAACGGCTCTTTAGTCACTTTGCCAAAACGCATTTGGAGAAAAAATCTCTCATTATTAACATCTTTACGGAGATTATAATACTGTTGTAATATTATAACCCAGTTTGCATCCCTTACTAGAGAAGATCGACTACTTTAGTTTTAGTGTTAGGGAGGATAAGGCTGACACGTTCTTCTACAAAATCTACATTAGAAACCTTCATATTAACTAACTCTCCTGTTCTGCATGCACCAGATATGCCGATTATGAGAACAATCTAAAAATGAATAAAGATAAAAGTAAAAAACTGTGTGCGCATTTGTAGCTACTCGTTACTACCTCAAAAGTTATGTACGTAATGAATCGTCACAATTACAACACTATGACAAATTAAGTGTAATTTTACTTTGTAAGGTAACAATTCCACGGGGGCCTCTTTCAGAAACTTCTCAATTTGGTCTTTTGTAAACACCTCTGATTGTTTAGGCATTGCTTTTTAATAACAGCGGATGTGATGGGACGCCAATTTTCCGGACTTCTCCTATCGCCGTCCTTGGGGATGAGAACCGTTCGCGAGGCGCGCCATGAAGCTGGGGTGAAACGTCGGTACAAAACGGCGTTGTAAAGTACTTCAAGCTGGCGGGGCAGTTTCGCACCTGCGAGATTGTGATGCCATCGACGCCTGGACCAATCGCGCTTGGCGGCCTCGATCTCTCGGTCGTGATTGGGACGTATATCTCCTTGGGCGGCTCCGGATGGTCCAGAATTGGCTCCTCGTCCGGGGGTGATGGTCTGGCGAAAATGGCTTTATAGAAGTCTTCGACGTCGGCCATTGGGGGAGAGACCTCTTCGGCCGACAGAGGTTTGGCGTCCAGTATCGAGCCAGCTAGCAATGTACGATTCTTGGCGTAAAGATCTTGCGCCTTGGCGAATTGGGATGCTCGTCGTAACGTGCTGGTGGCGGAGGTGGTATGGGCCTTGTACGTGTTTTGGGCGGTTTCCTCTGTCGAACAGGAAAGCGGACTTCCATTTACGCCTGGGTGGCACTTTCCAGCTCTGGAATCGTGCCCGATAGGGCAGCGTGAAAGAGCCTCTCGGTCGTTGCTTCCCCGGCCCCGCCCTTCAAAATGAGCAGGGGGGGGGGCGAGGAAGGAAGCATCCTCTCGGAGTCCTGGTGTAATCATGTCGACTCGGAAGTTCCTCGGCTGGATCGAGATCCGGCGTTTGCTCCCCTTCGGTGCGGGCACATCTGCTGAAGAGCTGGCACTCAGATGGTCGGTGCCGCTGGGTCCAGGGTCTGCTGGCACGTAGTCGAAGATGGTACTTCACAGTCGAGTGGGGGTGACCAGGCTGGGAGGTGTATCGGGCGGCGGCTGGGCAGGAAGGCGATCCAGTATAGGCGCGGGAGCAGCTGGGGGGGGGGGGGCAAAGGTGTTGAGAGCCCTGGTGACGATACGCTGGGGCGCTTCGCGGCGGTTGGTGGAGTGAACCCAAAGGTGGTTTGGCTCAACCTTTTCCGTTCGCTAATGACGCGCTCCAGGTAGGCTGGATACTCGCCTTGCTCCCGGCGATGACGGATTTGACGTTTAGTTAAACCCGTTGTCGCCACTGCCTCCTTGTAATTGAAAACCCCCCGTAGAGCGGTGGCTTCGACCTTTACTATCTTGGTCATTAAAGCCGCTTCGGAGGGTTTCGCTTCCCTTTCCATATGAGCAGAAAACTGTTCCGGGTGAGCTCGATGCTCGTGCTGTCGCACGGCGGCGTACGTTGGACAGGGTTTCCCACAGTAGATACACACATCCTGGCGCCTGGTCCCGCAAGTCTTCACGTGTCTGGCCAGCCCGCTCTTCGTCTGGCAGGCGTGCCCGCACTTGCCACATTTATGGGGTTTTTCGGAGTCGACTCGACACCTTGCTGTGTAAGCGGACGACGATGGGCGCGTGCTCCGCGCGTCGTTGATTGGCGGTACTTCTCTTGTCCATTATCGGTGTTGTTTTGCTGACCGGTCGATATCTGCTTATGCAGGTCTAGATGTAGGACGTTGTACGGCGACACGTAAGTCCGACAAGGTCGCAATTAAAAGACGATTTTTGCGTTTATTAATATTTGGTGTTGAGTTGTGTACTATTACCTTGTCGGAAGACGGCGAAGAGTTTGTACACTTAGTTTTCGCGAATTGCGCGCGTAAAAGTCTAAACTAAGTAACACGTGCACCGCACTACCGCAAATTGTGTTGCTTATCTTGCCAGACTCACTACCCAATAGCAGCAGAGGTAACGCGTTTAACAAAAATAGGGGGTTTCCGAACCCCCAAACTACTATTCTCGATCAAATTTAACGTTCCGGAGAGAGCACGTAGCAGCACGTCCTCTCTTCACGTTGACATTCAGAACACTCCGCAATAATATTTGGTAATGTCGACTTTTTCATTTAAGTTGGGGATCCACCTGTGGATCTTGAATAATTGTTATTTGTAGGTGTAAGTTACTTGCGGTTTGTAACGATTTAGTTTCTTAATTACAAAGTATTATTGTTCGCGGTTTATTACTTGTTGAAAGATTCCAATAACTCTTGTAGTGTTTTGATAGATGGCTCCATCTATTGTTGGAATTTTTGCCGCGCAGATTGCCCGCGCCGTGATTTATGGTTGTGGGGTTCAGCTTCCTTTTTCTGTCGTATAAACCCTATCGAGTTACACTGCGTTTAAACATACAGCTGAAGCGCGAGTTAGAACGCATGGAACTGTATTTGCCATCATCTATATACACTGATCTCTGGCGATTGTACATTCATATTTTGGGGATTCCCAAGTATTATTGGACGGATTTCACCTATTTAACTACTATAGTGAGGATATAAGTTGCGTTCTTCCTTTCTTATCGTAAGGACCGCCATTTGCATTTCGTGTATTGAGGTGTACTTGTTTTAGGTTTCGGCTGATATCTGTGTACCGCAATTTCCAGCGACAATTGTTGCTTCATCTACAATTAGCCCTCTTCTTTAAGTGGTATGTAAATTTTAGGTTATCAAGGAAGGGGGTTACCTTCATGACGGAGATTTAATATCAAGAATCGAACTTCTGTAACTCTTTAGCGTCTTAGTGGATAACTATGTTGCCCTTTCTGGGTTATATGCGATTATATTCCCGGCATTTATTCAGTACCTATTCACAATCTTTGCGATCTCCCTCACGTTATGATCGAGTTTGAAACGCGAATTGTTGGGGACCACCACATTTTATTGGATGAGATTCTCATAATCCTCCAGTTGGTAGGTTTTGGCTACCACTTAAAATGGATGCTGTTCGACGAAGTGATTACTATCTAAAAACGGAACAGAATTGCAGTTTCCTTCCTCCATCCTGAATGTAATGTAAATGCCGAAATTATTGAATACATTTTACGTCTTGGATGATTATTATTCCATATTGCAAGACTGAAAATTGGAAAGGTAACAGAAGCGTTCCTTTTATCATGTGAGATTTACAAAAAAAGTTCACAAATACTCTTATCCAATACCTATAGCTATATAAATTTACAAAGTTATGTTACAGGGCCATTAAAAGTTTTTGATGTTTTTATTTTTAGTTTAAAATGCGAGTAATGGACCAATTTTATTTTGTTTTACAATCCGTGTAAGATGAAATTACAAAAATAAGCTTTTTTCGACATGTATGTTATTTTTGTTCTGCCAACAATTAAATTCGATTACAATGTATTTTTAGGCAAAGAATAAACCACCTGTAAAACAATGAAATAATATAAAACAAAATAACTTTGTGATAAAAGTAATATCACTGAATCAGATTCGGCGTTATTTTCACCAATGGATTTCGTTTTTACCGCCGGCGCCGTTTGTATCCAATCTTTCCTACGTTTAAGTTGTGTGTTTTGCTTCTCGATACGATAATGATGTTAAAACGAATAAAGGCGCCGAATTAAAAAAACCTTAAAACAGAAATAAATCGTTATATGAAACATATGTACTGAAACAGTTGGCAGATAGGTCAATGGTATAATCTATCTAATATACTTGTCAAGTTATATATCACAGAAATGTTTACTATTTATCATACGAAAACATTTAAAGGTGCGATACACACTGTGCATCTTGTCAAAAATAACAAAATGTGTAGTCATCCAGTATTTATTAAACAAGCATGTTCCGCACATCTGCTAGATACGGCGTATATGTGTTTAATGTTTATTTCATAGAAAACTTGAGACGATTTTTTTGCAGATCACAGTTGAAGGCGCCTCAGGTCTACGGAAAGAAAATGAAAAAGTTATCATTCAAAGGAATTTCACTGTTTAACAAGTAATCTCTCGACAACCGCAATGTTTACTTCAAGGGAGTCGCCGACAATTTTTTAATGAAAAAGTTACTTACAGCGTGTGCCTAAGTGTCTCGCAAGATGAATAAGAAGTTATTTATGTGTGACGATACATTTTGACTTGGGTTACCTGATCTAGCAAAATCCCGTTCTTGATAGAGGGATGAGAACACTTGCAATTTTGAAGTATTCAACGCCGCGGCCATGTGGTTCGCTTGTACACTCGACAGATGATTATTTTAATTATGTTATTGGGACCTTGAAAAGTAGTGAGATATCTTTGCAATTCTAAGAGGACAGCGGGTGTTGGAACTTTGTTGAAGATTCCACTTCAAAACTACTATAGGATAATTAAAGAATATCCGGTAGGTAATGTGAATCATATTCCTAAAAAAATGTGCCAAATTCTTGACATAACAGCTTCCTAGCATAAACCAAAAATATCGGTTTTAAGAGTGCCTTCAAAAAATAGTAATATAAGTGTAGCGTCTCGCAAGAAAGTTTATTATTTTCCGATGTAGAATAAGAATATTCAATATAAAGTATTGCTTTCTATTTGAAAAAAATTTGTTGCTCTACGCTTGAGCTTAAGGGACAGTTATGTGAAAATGTGCACAGGATCATTAAATGATCAAATTAAAGCTAATACTCACCTATTAAATGTGCAAAAGCAGGCTCCCGTGTGCTCCTTGATGATGCAAGTGTGGAAGTAGTCTCAATCTGTTCCTTTGGTCTTGAAAAAACGTAATTTCAATAGTGGCTCTCTTGAAAATTGTGCGTTTGAGTGATACGGAAAAAAAATGGCCGCCACCGCAAACACATTTTCCTGCTTATATCAGAAACAGTTGAAATTACGAAAAAAGCGTGGAACACAAAGTGTAGTTACATAGATTGTGCACAAAAAAGGGTATTAAAATTTTTTTATGTGGGATCAACCGTTTTGTCATAAAAAGTACTTTTATATTTTTCACTTTATTTTACCTTTGCCAGCAAATGACCCTGTTACATCAGCTACTGAAAGTGCGTATATGTCCAGGGGGTGAGGAGGCTCTCAAAGATCTAAGTGTTCTGTAAATTGCACCTGAACGAACCTTTAATTCCTATCAAGGCCGAGGAAAAATGCAAATTGCAAAAGTTTGTTTGTGCATGAAGAAACTGGCTACTTAGAAGCTTCTCCTGATGGTAAAAATTCAAAATCGTTTAAATTTATTACTTCACTTATAGGTGAGTTGAGTTGCTGAAAAGTAAATGTTTACATTCTGTTGAGAGTTTCAATGGGTTTTATTTTCAGATACAGGAACAACTGAATATCAGCAAAAAAAGATCTGTTTTTTTATCATATACAGTGTCCCAGATCGCGTGGGATTGCATGGGTAACTTTGTTATTATTAAAGATAGAGAATTGGTTAAATAGGCAATGTTTTGCAGTTTTGGATGCTTATTTAAAATTTCCTTTTGGAAATTCAAAATGTCGCATAGGTTCGACGTAAATTAAAAAAAACTAAAATTGGTCATTTCCTTAAATGTCTTATATCATCGAAAGTATAAGAGATATAAAAAAAGTGTTATATAAAAGTGGCTGCCTTTGATACGCTTAATTTAGAATTGAAGTCAAAACAAAATTCAAGATGGCTACTTTTGAGGAACATTTACCAACATCCTAAAGTTAAATAGGCGCTATATCGGATTTTTAGATTACTTGATAGATTTTTTAATTCTCTTTTCAACGAGCCATCATAACATAAGATTGAAAATAAGATACCAGTTATATCAACGGTTTTTATATTTTAATCAAGTAGGCTGTGATGAATTAAAAAAAAACAAAACAAAATCTATTCGAGCCAACAAAACAATGAAAATAATTACATTAGATGTTTAAAAAATCAGGGGCGCACTCATGAGAGGGGGTTTGGGCATTACAACTCCCTCCAAAATTTTATATAAGTAGGCCTAGAAAAATTTTGATTTTTATAACATCACTTATTGACTATCTTATTATCCACACTTACATACCTACAAATGGTGGTATAACTACAAACTATCCCCTCGAAAAAATGTCATGCCATTATCCACTTAAACACATTTCAAGACACTTTGCTTTATTTTACACAATGTATTACCATTGATGCATTGTCCCAGGTCACAATTTGTAGGTCAGTAGGTGGTTTATCCGCAAGAATATCGAAACAGTTTTACCAGTCCGAGTATATGGACAGATGAATCTTATTTTTCTAACTGCGGAGTGTTCAAATCGACATAATGAACACTATACTCGTCACAGGAAAACCTACATGTTGTAGTTTCACGCCGAAATCAAGTAATATTTTTTTTAATTAATGTATTTTATGGCATAATGGGAAGTCATGTAGTTGAACCGGTAATCTTCGTTGGATCTTTAACTGCTCATATGATTTACAAATTCTCCAATAAACTTCCTTTAAGGATTTTTCTCGACAACGTATGTTTCGAAGAAAGAGTTGGTTTATGCTACCTACCAACAAGCTGTCTGCTCAGGTCACAATTCACGAATTATGTACAGTACATTAAATTATAAAAGTAAGTACTTAATTAAAAAATAAAAGTAAAGTGGAAGTAGCTACCATTACAATAACAATAATAATCATCAATGGCAACACGTTGCCTAAACTAAACTGTCTTGAAGTGTGTTTCACTAATAATGGCCAGTATTTTAAACATCTGGTGTAATTATTTGCATTAACCCCCTGTGGGCTCGGGGGTAGAATTGACCCACTCCCGTCCTGGAGATCGTAAAAGGCGATCAATGGGCACTAAAGGCGTCGAGTCCAACCGCCTTTAGTAACTTACCTACCCATTTATCTATCCCACTCCAAATTATCCCTTTTTCCCTGTATTGATTAATGCTGGCGGTAGCATAAAAACGCTTTAAGACGACTTTGCTAATGAATTCAGGCTTTTCTAATACAAACCTTACGGTGCAGGGGTTCGGACGGTCCCCAGTGCCAGTCGGGAGCGAGGCGGAGCGGGCAGGCCTCACCCGACCGTTATCAAGCGGCTGCTCGGCGTTGTGGGTGGATGACCAGGCCCCAACGCAAGTACAAGCTTCTGGCATGGATGGAGAGGGTGGTTTTTTTCCCCCGCTCCCTGTAACAGGTAATGAAAAGGAGGATAACTATCCCCGGTTCTTGCTTGTTGAGAAAAAGGAAGGAGATTTCTCCAAAATTAGTCCTTTTATGATTCATAAGGCCTCGTTTGGCTTAATTGGGAAAGTGGAAGAAATTAAGAAAGTTAAGGGTTTATTATTTATAAAAACGGTATCGAATAAACAATCAAAACGATTACTGGAAGTTAAAAGGATGTGTAATTTTGAAGTTCAAGTGAAACCTCATGATACGCTAAACTTAAGTAAAGGAGTTATATACTGCCGGGATCTAATGAACTGTAGTGAAGAAGAAATATTGGAAGAACTGGGTGGAGAAAACGTTGTAGCGGTGAAGAGAATTAGGACCAAAGTTGGAGGTACCTTCATTGATACTCCCAACCTTATACTTACCTTCAATGCCACCCAACTTCCCAGGGTGATTAATATACGTTGAAAGTGAGACCATATGTTCCACAACCAATGAGATGTTACAAGTGTCAACGTTTCGGACACACAACACTAAAATGTGAGAAGGAACAAGTATGTGTCTGTGGAAAATCCTTACACCCGGGTTCTCCATGTGACGATCCAGTCGTATGCCTAAATTGCAACGGTACACATCCTGCAAACTCTAGAACTTGCGAAGTGTATAAAAGAGAGTTACAAATTCAAGAGATAAAGGTTACCCGTAAGGTGTCTTATCTGGAGGCAAAACGAATGCTTGGATCGGCTGTTACTTCAAACAGCTCGTACTCAAATGTTGCTACACGCCTAACCACTGATACTCAACCTAACCTGGTATCTGAAATCAGAAAAATTGTTAAAAGACGAAATTAAAGAACTTACCTCCACCTTAGTTGAATATGTTAAACAATCAATGCCGAAACCAACCGTATCTCCGTCTCCGATAGAATTACCTCATGGAAGTTCTGAAGGAGAAACAACAATTAGCCGATCGAAACCTGGGAGGATTGAAAACCTTACCCAGGACTGTCATGTGACAATCGCGGATCCTGTTGATAAGAGGAAGCGAGATGAGGATAGTTCAACCCCATCTTCGCCAATATTAGATGAAGAAGCCTTAGATATAGAGAGAAAACAAATTCTTCAACAAAAGAAGAAAAAAGGATGGCCAAAGGGCAAACCTAGGAAAATCTCTCTCTAGTGTTGATACCCATACGTGATATATTTACTGTGATAATCTACCTACAATCTGTATTGAATTACCAAATCTGTGATATCTCTGTCTCTTGTATCTGTCTTAAATTAATTGTTATTTGTTTGTAGTCGTCCCTTATACACTATGATCTGTTATTTATTAATATTATTTATTCCATTGTTGTCTCTTTTAATCTTATCTTTGTAATGGGTACCAAAATTATCCAATGGAATTGTCGGGGACTATCCAATAACTTAATTGAGTTGAAACTATTGATTCAAAGACATACACCATTATGTGTTGCCCTGCAAGAAACACATCTAAAACCTAGAAATATAGCATTAAAAATTTCAACATCATAAGAAAAGATTTCTACTCACCTGCAAGAGCCTGTGGGGGAATGGTCAATAAGAGGTTACAAACGTATCTTGAAAACAACAATATATACGTACCATATCAAACCGGCTTCCGAAAGGGGCGATCGACGATTGATCACCTGGTCAGGTTAAGCAACCAAATCCTGAGGGCGTTCGATCATGGCGAACATTTGGTCGGTGTCTTTTTTGACATAAAAGGTGCATATGATATGACCTGGAGGCACGGAATATTAAAAAACATGTTTAAATATAACTTACGCGGGAATCTGCCAAAATTTATACAATCGTTTATAGAAGACAGGAAATTTGTGGTCAGAGTCGGTGACACTTACTCGAACGAGCATGTCTTAGAAAATGGGGTACCGCAGGGGTCAACACTTAGCTGCTCCCTGTTTGGTATTGCCATTGATGAAATTGCTATAAATGTCGCGGAGGAAGTGGAGAAATGTTTATATGTCGATGACTTAATGATTTGCTGTGCAGGTAAAACGGTGGGTGATATAACACGTAAATTGCAAGTGGCAATAAACAAAATTACAAAAAATGCTAACGCTGTAGGATTTGTACTGTCGGAGGAGAAGACAAAATGTGTACACTTCTGTCGACTCCGAAGACCACATTACGGCCCAGTTCTATTTATGAACGAAAACATGTAGACAATTTAGTAGTATCTTGCAGGAAATCACTAAACATCCTAAGGGTGCTGGCTCATCATAAATGGGGAACCAACCCTAAAACCATGCTGGACCTATATAAAGCCTTGATCTTATCGCGTATAGACTACGGATCTCATGTCTATTCTACCTGTAGTAATGTATTGTTGGGACGACTAGACAAAATTCAAAACCTGGCAATAAGGTATTCACTTGGCGCCTTTCCAACATCTCCAGTCGTATCTCTCCATGTCGAGGCTAATATTCCCCCTCTTGCTTTAAAAAAAAAACAAATAGCAGCAAATTATTACATAAAAGTCTCGCTGGATAGGAATCACCCGAACTATCACGGAATGGTATAGATGTAATAGAAGGTGCGCGTTTAATTAGGTGTCGATCGTTGACTGTGAGAGCCAAAGAAATTATGACCGAATTGAACCTGATAGCCGAAGACATGTCTGAACTATCCAAGAACGCCCGTCGGTCCCTAGTTAAAGATCGAATATGGGAAATGTGGAACGGGCAGTGGAGTGAATCGGAAGCGTTCCTAAGGAAGTTCAAGGAGGTTGTGGGTCCGATATTCTTACCAATTAAGGGAAGATACAATCTTGAAAAGATATATCGGCTCAGATTGGGACATACTTCCCTCACGCATTCATTTCTTTTGATGAGTCAAGATCCTCCCCAATGCGAACAATGTTTAGTCAACCTAACTGTAGATCATGTACTTTGTGTGTGTCCCAAATATAATGTAGAAAGAGTACGGTGTAACCTGAGTGAAGAAATAATAGAAACTTTGACAAATAAAGATCGATGTGGAGCAGTTATAATATATCTTAGAAATACTGGACTAATATCTAAAATCTAAATCTAAATTACACTGATACAAAACTTTTTTATATCTCTTATACTTTCGATGATATAAGACATTCAAGGAAATGACCAATTTTAGTTTTTTTGAATTTACGTCCAACCTATGCGGCATTTTGAATTTCCACAAGAAAATTTTAAATAAGCATCCAAAACTGCAAAACATTGCCCATTTAACCAATTCTCTATCTTTAATAATAACAAAGTTACCCATGCAATCCCACGCGATTTGGGACACACTGTATATAATCGACCAACAAACATTGTATATAGAAGAAATATAAAAAGACCAAGAATTTTGGAAAGAACAAATGATTCCCTACTAAAATCAGTTTACACTGACTGTATATTAACAGAACGGTTACAACGAAATTTTCCAAAAGGCTTACAGTGCATAGAGCCTCAATATATTCTAGATGCCCAAGAAAAATAAATAAACGAGAAGTGAAACCTTAATGTGCCTAATTATAAGAATATTTAGGAATTATAACTATTATTACGTTTTTGTTGTTTTATTTACTTACAATGGGCAGAATAAATGAAGTACAATACTTTTTCCTGATATAGAGCCATGTAGACTATTTCCTTTATTTTATAGCATATGTTAAAATGACATTTTAATCGGTTTGAATGAGTAGGCTAACCCGTTCTCTAACTGTAAGGATAGATATAGTGATCACTTTAACCGTAAGGGTAGATAAAGTGAAACAGTTGATTCTGCATTCTAATGACACCTGTCATTCTTATTTCAAACGCACGATATAAAATGACGTTAAGAACATATGACAATTCTGTCTCTATGGAAACGATCGCGACGGCAGAACCTAAGCTTGCTATTTTTGACGTCTCTAAATTAAATTCAGAATTAGAAGCTTTACAATGATTTATATGGCTTCTGCTATAAAATAAAATTTTCTATTATACACGACGATAAAGGGAAACTAACATCTCGTGAAAGTTAATTCACTCAATGGTTAAAACATCCCTTTATCGTCTTGTATGGTAAACTATAAATTATTCCTTTATTTTTAGAAAAAAGGTAGAAAACAGAATTCGGAAAAAATACGGTTAAGCCGGAAAGTATTTCGGCTCGTGAGGGCCTAATAGTAATGCTTGCTCTTTTACTCATTTTGACCAAATACCAACAAAAATTTTTTGTTGAAAAATTGTAACGTTTAAATTAAGTTTTCCTGATACCAAAACTTTCTAAATGTTTCATTATCCAAAAATCAAACGAGAGTTAGTTGATTGAAACGCTAGCGTATTTGCTTTTCTAAACAATAATTTGCGATCTCGTATCCCACATTATCCTACCCCCCTGTGTTAAAAGCGTTGAACTTATTTTTATGTTGGCAACAACGGCGCCATTTTAAAAGATCAATTTTTTATTCATATTTTTCTGAATTCTTATTTCATTTGCCAAATCTTCAATTTTTCACAAATCATACAATGTATTGTATTATGTAGGACTTATTTGTTATGTATAGGTCATTAACCCTTATTCCTCATAGATGTACTTATTTATTATCAATTTCTAAGAAATTAAGCACTGATTTTTTTAAATAATAATAGTGTATTTTGTATGTGACCCGAAATTAAAGGGACACAGCAATTGTATTGTAAATAATGACATGGTTTTTATACCTTAAAACTACTTGGGTAGCGTTCTATATAATTCCATTGCGGTAACATATTGCATACCATGACCATTGCAGTATGTGCAACTTGCTTAGTGGAATTCCGTTGCTACTAGACCATATTTATATCAGCACGATAAGGCCATTTTGAATATGATTTTATGAACTTACGTAGAGACAAAAACGTAATATGGTACGAAAAATTGGCGAACGTTAACGTGAAAAATTTTAATTGTCCCAAATACATATGGGTCATGTATATTATGTTATAAAATGAATCTTCTGTATATCGTTGTATATAATTAAAAGGAATCAATTTTACAGACCATATGTTTTAGATTGTATCTGTAAAGGTAACGTTTAAGATCGAAGTTGAAACTTATTCTCTTAGGGATCACGCATCTTTAGCACAATTTGTGACTTGAATTGGGAATTGATAGAGGACGTTGAAAAATGTGAGAGCGAAACTATTAATGGTGGGCTACGTTGTACAGATTCTTTTAGGAATTCGTAGCGTAGAAAGTTAGCTTATTTATGGAGCATCAGGTAGAAAAATTTATTAATGATTAATGATGGCGAATAAATTTCTGTAATCGGTATAGCAAAGGGTGGCGGCCGAAATATAATTAAATAAAAGGATAGGGTTAGGTGTTATGTTAGTACCTGAGCAACCCTCAAATCCTAAAAGTTTATTCAACGATCCCGCAAGTAGAAGTATCACACGACATACAAACACAATGGCCTTTCTTTCCTTGAAACTAGATACCTATTATCTTCGATGCTTGTTCTAGACATTTACCTTGCTTCAACAGTTTACAACGTACACAAACCTGTCGTAAGTCTTTTTGAAATACAAAACTCTGCGTAAGTTGAACAGGTGCACTAGTAAGGAAATACAATATCTCTACGCGGTGTAATACATTCTACTTATTCCGCAAACGTAAGAAAGCCATACATACGTTATATCCTTCCGCGTAGGATACCCAATAAGCGAGTTTAAAAATTGTTCCTGAAA